TTATTGTATGATTGAAGTGGCAAAGTTTGAATTAAATCTGTCCTTAAAAGTGGGTCAAAATCAGTCAAGAGTCGGTTACATCATACATACATACAGGTGAAGCTAATATAAAGCGTGAAAAAAAAGAAACTAGAGCAGTAGGCATGGTGGCTTTAGCGTGCGACTGTCATCGCTAAGGTCGTAGGTTCGATGCCCGGACTCGTGGACTTTCTATGTGCACATTTAGCATCCGCTTGAACGGTGAAGGAAATCGTGAGGCTTGCCTTAGACCCAAAAAGTCAACGACGGGTGTCAGGCACAGGAGGCTGATCACCTACCTACCTATTGGATTGACAAATGATCATGAAACAGATACAGAAATCTGAGGGCCAGACCTAAAAAGGTGTAGCGCCACTGATATATTTTAGCTTTTATATCGGAATTGCATAGTGTCGCCGTGGTATACGCTATCGGAAGCCTCATAGAAGTTTATGAGACGCGTGCGCCGAATTATCAATACTATTAGCGTAACTAGATCATATCTAAATGTATTTGTTAGTAATTAATGTCGACCCTGACCTGTCCAATAATTAATGAAGGTTTCTATTGTGGCTTGACCTTGACAAACGGTAATTAAAAATCTGGGCTTCCTCATTGACTAAATTGGGTTTCTTTGTTATAAGACAAAAGAATGCATTTTATATGTTAAAACGTTTCGTTTAGTATTTCTTTACGCTCACCTGGAGTTAAACGGTACCGCCGCCTATAGACACTTACCACTTACCATTGCCAGAAGGTTCGCAAGTGCGTTGCCAGCCTTTTAAGAATTGTTTTTTATTGAAGGACGCTAAGTCGAATTGGTTCGGAAATACATCGGTTGGCAGCTGGTTCCACATAGTGGTGATGCGCTGCAGAAATTGCCTTAAAAAAGCTCAGTTGTGGAACGACGGACGTCGAGGTGATACGAGTGGTATTTTGTATTCTGCCTTGAAGTCCGAAGATGAAACTCAGCTGCAGGTATTAATCCGAACAACTGCTTTGAACACTCCATGGTAAATTCGGTAGAAGATGCAGAGAGACCCCACATCTCTACGCAACACCATGATATTATGTTATCATGTGGCTATAAACAAGAAAAAAGATTGCATGTGTACACTGTGTACGTATATAGTTCGTCCATCAATACGTGTTACAATGTTAGATCCGACAACAATATTCGGTAATTTATTTATTTCGTAATCCTGCAGCTAACATAAATTATATACAACAAAGTTCAAAACATTTAATTATATAGGTTACACTATGTACACTTATGAACGTCAAAAAAGAAATATATATTAACTGCTTCTAATTTTAAATTTACTGCCAGTTCTCAAATCAAGGGCGTAGAATGGAAGAGAAGAACTGGCAAAAACCAATTATACTAAACATATAGCCAAAGATGGAATACATAATATATAAAAGGTTCAAACATTTACGAAAGGATAAATAAAAATATTAAATACGTGACACCTAATTCGGCTGTGCGGCTGTGAAAGTGGGGTTTACATGAATCCCAAAATAAAGTATATGTCTAATTTACCCTATTTGCCTCCAAATGGGTCGTCATTTTATCGTTTGTGGTTTAAAACTTACAATGTCAATGACCTCTGATTAACATGATTCATTAACCACTACGAAAAAACAACAGCGAGTATTCCTTTTTTTACGGGACTAATATACAAGATAACTCCGTGTTTGAATCCCGATCGTGGCTTTTATTTGAATTTGCACTTGGTCGCGTGATATGTATAAACTAGGGAACACTAACACATAGATTCATATACAAAATAATATAATATAAAGTAGTGCAATGTTGGCCTAGTAGTGCACCAATGGACTTTTTGTCTATGTGCGCATTTAACATTGGCTCGAACGGTGACGGGAATCGTGAGGAAACTGGGTGGCTTTAGACCCAAAAAGTCGACGGCGTGTGTCAGGCACAGGAGGCTGATCACCTACTTGACTATTAGATTGACAAATGATCATAAAACCAGAAACAGACCTAATAAGACTCTAGCACCACTGGTTTATAAAATATATGATTTGAATTACTATTTTTTCATAAATAATTCTTATTGGTGCCGGTAGAAAAGCTGATACATAGAGAGACACATATTCACTTGCGCCATTGTTTATTACAGCTCCATTTGCACGATCTCTATTAGGCTTAGAATCAAACCAACGTGTACCAGAACATAAAAAATACTCTGTAATAAAATGTAATCTATGGAAACATAAACTTATCTTACCCCCAACTACATCGACATTAAGTCTTAACCCTTCATTTGCATTTAAAAATATCTTTAATCGCTATCCAGGAAGTGTCCCATTAAGCAGCGAGGGTTGACGCACCTCACGTACCGACTCCAATGATCTTAAATTTACGCCACCTCGGGGCCTAATCGACCATTTTTTCCCGCCTGATTACCGGGACGCTAATATTGACCCCCCTCCTCAAACAAATGTTAACCCTTTATTCGTTCCCCCTTCGAAAAAAAGCCCATAAAATATATCTAATTAAAAAATATCCCCGTCTCAAGGCTGACGTTCATAAAGAATGTCAATTAAACTGGGACGTTTTTTCTTATTTTTTTTCGGCAATATTTCGTGTCTTTCCGCGGCCGGCGAAGGGTTAAGATAACGAAATTAGTATCGGTATGAAATATTGAGTAATTTAATATTTGGTGGGGGTCCTTTGTAGCTTTTGTTTGAAGTCTGGTGCTTTTTTTAATCTCATTCTTTCGATCAAAGGGGCGAGCAAAAATTATCGAGGGAATATTGTTTAGGTATTCAGGTTCTAACTGCTAGTATTGGATGGATTCAAAAATCTAATTTCATCGCCGCAGCAAGGAAATGCTGCCAAACTTTTTATACATATTTGTTTTCATTTTCTCCAATTTTGATGTGAAACATCTATAGCCGCACGTAAAACCGATTTCTGGCGTGGCAACGTATGCCGTGACGACGCTTCGCCACGCTATATGATGCTATATATATACAGTCTATATGCAGTAGTGTGTACGGTGTGTGTATTTCGAAGTCACTGATTAAACGAATTAAGTGACTACGATTTGAAATAAATTTTAAATTTTTAGTATTTAATGAAAATAAAAGTTTATTCAATAAATAGTCATTGTTATTTGGAAAAAAATCGTAATATTTTATTTTATCATTATGACATATTTAGTTCCTATCACAATCTGTTCTTTTCTGCATATTACTTTTACGAAATAATGTCGATGTTTCACATCTGCCAGGCGTCCCGTGACGGCTTACATTTTTTTATTATTTTCTGTAGGTTAAGGATTTCATCACATCTACAGATGAGTTTCATCATCGGACGTTGAGGCAGAATACGAAATTACACCCGTATCACCTCGACGTCCGTCGTTCCACAACTTTTTGCCGCAGTTTTTGCCGCGCACCACCGCTATGTGGAACCAGTTGCCCACTAAAGTATTTCCGAACCAATTCGACTTAGGGTCCTTCAAGACAAGAGCGTTAAATTACTTAAGGCTGTGCACTTGCGAGCCCTTTGGCAATGTGAGTGTCTATGGGCAGTGGTATCATTTATTATCAGGTGAGTTTCCTGCCTGTATGCATATCAAAAAAAAAATCAGCTTTTTCCTCCTTCGGTGCCACTCCATTACTGTAGGTAGGCCGTCAATCTCGTGAAGCTTGTCTTGTCCTGTGCCAGATGCAGCAGCTCTTCAGCAGTCGCAATACCTGTCCACTCCTTAATGTGACTAAGCCTGATTTTATTCTTCAACATATATCACTTATTTAGACACATACACAATGGCAGTTCTTATTATCTTCGATTGCTAAACATTATAAGTATCTTTAAATATATTTTTTCTACATAAGTTTTGAGTAATTTTTATTAAGTACCTAACCCATTTAAATTCACGGATTTGAAAGCATCAACACCGTTGTTACTAGTAGAACATGTATTTTTTTATAGAACAGGGAGCACCGCCGCCCATGGACACTCTCAATGGCTAGCTCGCGGATGTGGGTCTCGCCTTTTAATCTATCCAGCAATTATAACATAGTGAGCAATGTATTTGAATACATTTTTATTAAATTAGATTATCACTTTATTGTCATTGAGAATATTCGTCGTAACTCTATCAAACAATTATCTTTCAAGTTCGAACGGATTGATTATGTATAAAGCTATTAGTTTCCGGTTTATGAATTAAAAATAACATAAACCATTTGTTTCTTTATACATAATTTTGTTTACACATTCCTTAAAAATAAAACCAGTGGCGTTACAACCTTTTTAGGTCTAGGCCTTAGATCTCTGTATCTGTTTCATGATCATTTGTCAGTCTAATAGGCAAGCCTCTGTGTTTCTTTTCTCTGTGCTTGATACACGCCTTCAACCTTTTGGTTCGGTCCGGCTTACCGCACCCTGAAGCCACTAGGCCAACACTGCTGTTACTATATCTAAACTTATATTACATATGTTGGGGTTTTCATATGTTTGCAACATATAAAAAACTGCGAGACCGATGTCAAAAATTACACCAGATTTCCTGAGTATAAAATTTTCGTGTTAAAAATAAAGTCCACTGGTAGATGGTACATATGCCACATTATTAGTTCAAGTCTCACGGTTTTTATGATTAAAAGAGCAAGTTTATATTGCCTGTAAAGCAACTTGCAGGATTTGCAGAAGAAACCTTTCTATGACTTCTTGGTGACAATAGACGTGACGTTTTTCTGTTCTTTCTTCTTTTTTAATGTATAATTTATTTTTATATATCAGAGGGCAATCGGACTCATCTCATGTTAAGTGATGACGCCGCTCATAGACATTGCCAGAGGGCTCGCAATTGCGCTGCCGGAATTTTAAGAATTAGTACGCTCTCTCGATGGACCCTAAGTTGAATTATTTCAGAAATACATACCGGCAGCTGGTCCCACATAGCTGATGGTGCGCGGCAAAACCTGTTTCTCTAGCGTTGTGCCTATTGGGTGATGCCATTTGATGGTGATGGAGACATAGCTGAGTGCACGTCTCTTTCCCCCTTGAAATTTTATAATAATATTAGAATTGTATATTTCTTTATTTATGATACTATACTTCTGTTTCTGGGGAAAAGTGTTTTGTATGTTTGAAAAAAATATATATCAAAGTCAAAAATCAATGTACAATTATTATGAACGTCAAAAAAGAAATATACATTAAATGTTTCTAATTTTACATTTACTCCCAGTTCTCAAATCAAGTGCGTAGAATGGAAGAGAAGAACTGGCAAATAAACTCTCCGCCACTCTTTTTAACCGCCAAGTTTTTTTTTACACAACGTTTGTAAAGAGCTGCAACCATTACACCATGTTCCGCGTGACTTCTAAGTAATAAATAATAATAAAATAAATTAAAAACAAAGATATGTCCCCTATCAGCAGGAGGCATGGTGAAATAGGAGCACGCACTTACATTTTCGTGGGAACAACACGCAAATATTTCCGAACTAATTCGACTTAAGGTCCTTCAAGAAAAGCGTACCAATTCATAAAAGGCCGGCAAAGCACTCGAGAATCCTTTGGCATTTGACTGTCCATAGGTATGACTTAACATCAGATGAGCCTCCGATGGCAACGTTCTATAAAAAAAGGAACGAATACATCATATTCACAAAACTCATATATTTATTTGGTTCCACAAATACGCCAGCAGTTTTGAAACAACTCCGAAATTGTCTTATAATTTAATTAACCTTTGCATTAATTAACTAGCATAGATTAACATTTCTACAAAACAGCATTTGCTAACTAATTTCATTTGAATGAAAAACGTTTTTTTTAAAGAAAATATAAATCTTTAGCGAAAACTCCTTGAAAAATCCTTATTAAATCCCGCCCGGCTAAATAAGTTCGTTTGGCGGGTATAATTTTTTCCTTCTTTTTATTAGGATTACGTTGGCAAATAGAGGAAACCATCCATTTTAAGAGTTTTTTTCTATAAATTGTCTCAGGACTAAGACACAATTTAACATTTCGATCGAACCTAACTTAAGACTAAAAAGTCATTTTAAACTAACCTGATTTCCTAAGAAGGAAATATAAGAAATTGTCCAAAAACACTACTTACAGTCTCTATTAAAGGGCAGATCAATTCGACTTAGGGTCCTTTTAGAAAAGAGCGTTCCAATTCTTAAAAGGCCAGCAACGCCCTCGCGAGCCCTCTGGCATTGAGAGTGTCTTCCTGCCCGTTTGCCCCCTGTTCTATAATATAAAGACACTCTGCTTTGTGTACTATTAAGATAAACGTATAATATTCATCGACTATTTTAAAAAGGAAAAGCCACTATTACGTTATTGGACGGAAAATGGCAGAAAAACCATTTCATCAAGTCAATGAAACTTCCATAAATTGGGCTTTTGCTTCCGCATCCACCGTATTCTCCAGATTTTGACCCCAGCGATTTCTGGAAGGAGTTATAGGCCTTCTCCCGAGTTTTGCTCTCCAGCAGTTGGGAACCGCAGCCTGTGAACTTGAGGTCTATGTCGGATAGCCCTGGTCCCTTGGGTTCAATGTCTTGGCGAACCCCGAAGGCCCATCTTAAGGGCTTTGAGTGTAGACCCTGCCCCACAGTCCCCGCGTCGTCGACTTTCATGGCGCGGGCATACGTTAGCGAATTTTCACCTAATTACAAAAAAAAAGTCTTCAACAGCATTTGAAAATTAAGGATATGGAAATAAAAACAAGGCTTTATTATTATTATACAGAACCCAGATCACGTCTCGCTTTTACTTTTTTAACGAGGCAACATTCTTGGCGATTTGTATGGCTTACGTTGTATAATTAGCGATTGTCTCTGCCGGGGTGGGGGGTGGCCATTTTGTATTGATGATTTTTTTCACTTGACTAATGAAGGGACGGTGAGAAATTGGCGGATTTGCGAACATATCGCGGGATTCAAGCAATTAAATGGGATGATAATTAACTTAATAAATAGGTTTTTTTTAAATATATGTTGTGATTACAACAGCTAATTCATTGGAAATGAAGTTTTTTATATATCTGAGGTATTTTCAACTTAGGCTCCTTCAAGAAGAGCATACCAATTCTTAAAAGGCCGGCAACACACTCGCGAGCCCTCTGGCATCGAGAGGCAAGGGCGGCGGTATCACTTAACATCAAGTGAGCCCTGTGATACACACATTGCTGAATTGGCTCTTTTTTATCGTTTAATTATAACAATAATTTAAACCCGAAATATTTCGAATATCAAAATAAAAAAAATATTAAAATATATTTAAAGTTTTATGTAATAACCATAAATACTAATAATAATATTAAATGATTGATTTTTGTTTGCATTGCTCCAAAACTACTCGACCGATTTGAACAATTTTTTCACCATTAGAACCCTACGTTATCCCTAATGAAAAAAGAAATGAATCTAGTTCCATCCAAAAGGTAGTTTCATATGGAGTAGAATGGGTAAGAAACTCCATACTTACTCTTTTAAAATAGTTCTTACAATAATTGGTATACGTCCACTCCCAAACGTTGGCATGATTTTTTCCTTCTACAAAGTTTACCCTGCATTTTACCCATTATAATTAATTGAAGGATATCTTTCCGTTCTTTTATGTTCTGAATCAATTAATTCAGACAGACAAAAGAACAAAAGTAGAATATCAAGTCATTGGCCGGTGTATGGCAAAGTAATTCAACATTGATTTTAACACAGATATTACTAACAACACATTTCATCAAGTTGTGTGATAACTAGAATGGCTGTCACCGATGAAAAGTAAATACATAAATAAATAGATATGCAACTTGTATGCACTGCGAACGAACCTAACAAAGCCTCGCTGGAAAAAGGTTAATGTGGATACACCTTAAATATAATATTTGAATAGTTAGGATGCGTGATAAATTCGAAAGGTTTTTGAAGTGAAACTTCTTTAGGCTCATGAGGGTAAAATTTTTACGGAACGTCACGAAGATGTGCAGCGTTTTTGTCGAAGAAAATCATTATTATTTTATTAAGTAACTAAATTACCATTTTTTTTGTTGGTTATGTATTTTAATAAGGGCACAGAACCAAGACCTTTTTTGCTAAGACCCAGTTGGCTATTTTAGAAAATGTGGACATAAGTTAGCATTATGATTATAATGAATTTGTTATATTATTTGGTAATTGTTACCATATTAATGGTGGTATTTCTATATACATAACAATAGCTAATTTTAGTTCTGGCTTTTAATATACAATATTTTATTATTATACTTTGTATGCACGCACTTTTTTTTATGTAACAGGAGACAAACGGGCAGGACGCTCATCTGATGTTAAGTGATATGCCCATGGACACTCACATTGCCAGAAGGCTCGCAAGTGCGTTGGTACGCTCTTTTTTAGAAGGACCCTAAGTCGAATTGGTTATGAAATACTTCAGCGGGCAGGTGGTTATATAGGTATTTATGAGCAGTGTTGGCCTAGTGGCTTCAGCGTGCGACTCTCATTCCTGAGTCCATTTCGATCCCCGGCTGTGAACCAATGGACTTTCTATGTGCACATTTAACATTCGCTCAACGCTGAAGAAAAACATCGTGAGGAAACCGGCTTGCCTTATACCCAAAAAGTCGACATGAGTCAAGCACAGGAGACTGATCTATTGCCTATTAGATTGACAAATGATGCATGAAACAGATACAGAAATCTGAGGCCCATCTAAAAAGGTTGTAGAGCCACTAGTTTTTTATAAATATAAATGTATATAAAATGGTGCTATCACGGAATTACCACGCTTGGTATGTGATGGCATATGGTATTAAAATACCTTTTCAAGCATTTGATTGGATACATCTATAGTGAACTTTTTACAATATTAATGGCTTAATCAATTAATTAACGACTGTGTTTTGTTTTTGAACTTAATTGTGATACTGCCATTTTAAACTCAGAAATTTTGGGGTCAAATGGAGAGCATTCGTAGGAGATTTTCGTGTTAATACCTGCAGCTGAGTTTCATCATCGGATGTCGAGGCAGAATACGAAATTCCACCTTTATTATCCCGATATCCGTCGTTCATCTGAGCGTGGTTTTTGGCACTCTTTCCCGCGAACCACCACAATACAGAACCAGCTACCAATTGAAGTATTTACGAACTTATTCGACTTAGGTTCCTTCAAGAAAAGAGCATAGTTACCAATTTTTAAAAGCTAGAAAGCTGTGCGCGATTGTTCTATAAAAAAAGTATTAGGTTTTTTACTATTGAAATATAGTAAAAGTTCACTTTCACGCGCATTATTAATAGCTCAGGGAATTCCCAGAAACTGTTACCTATCATCATTGAAAAAGTGAAAGCTGTTAGGAATATGATAGATGAATGAAGTTGAAACCAGTCTTTAGAACAACCGTTGGTTGACTCAGTTTTTTGATTGGTACGGCAAAGTACGATAATGTTTTTGAGACTGTGTCTTCATGCTTCTGTTTAGTACCACATAGCTGGGCACTGCTTCATTAAAAATCTGTCTCATCTATAACATTATTTTTTTTATTTACTTTTACTCACAAATCTTCCAAGACTTCTTTATTAACATTGATAATTTTTACTATTTTTTTTCTACTATTATTATTATATATTATTTTTCTTCTGAGGAGCAAACTGTTGTGGTCTCTTAGCCAGGGCCAATTACAACCACATCACACACACATTACACACTTAAAATTTACCTTATTTCTTTTGTTTTTTTCATAATTTTTTGTTATTTTTAATTTTTGATTATTATTATGTGTTTCGTTAGTAATAAATGTTATGTTATGTCAACACAAGAGCTGCTTGTTATTTTATTTGTTATAAAATCTAGGTAGATACGAGAATATATTTTTATTGTAGAATTATTGTAGCTGTTAAGATATAATAATTATGGGGAAAATAAAAGAAACATTTGATTTAAATTCAAAAATCACATCATGATTTTAATTTTGACGTCTTCATTGTTATATTTTTAGCTATTTTCGTCTAAAGAGGAATCTGCTTAGCCAATTAAACGTGAGATTTTCACAATACATTCGTGATTTATAGATAACACGTGCTTAGAAAGTAATAAACGTGTTTAATTGTAGATAATGATAGATAAATTGATTACCTAAGCTAGGCATCTTCAGTAATTGAATCATCACTTGGTACTATACGAGAAGTACCATACTTACTTTGAAGTCTAAAGTGGTATGTGTCAACGTAAAATTGTAAAAACCGTTAGATTGTAATCTATCTCGCGAGATTGTAAACTGTCGAAAAATTGTGAACTCAATATGTATTGCTTATAATTAAACAACTTTATTATTAGTCAGCGCTGATTGGTTGAACGGAATATGTCGGTATAATAATTAACTGATTATTAAGATTGAATAATCACCCCAGTTAAATTTGTATATCCTCGTAGCAGTATCTATAAATTAATGTTAGTTTAAAAAAACGATTTTGTGCCGAAAAACAATTAGCATTAGGTTTTTCACAAGCAAACGAAAAATAACGAGATGAAGAAAAATATAGTTGCCTGTAAAGTCGGTTTACGGACAATAGTTCAACGTGACAACGTCATAACAATGTTGAAATGGTTGCATACTTTTATAAATACAATTGAATCATTTTTATTGAATTATCACTATTTTGTATGGATACAAAAGGAGCGTAAAATAAGCGTAAGGGGACAATGAGTCATGCTTTTTCTTGCGTGCAGTCGTTCATTGATTTAAGACGTCACGTCAAAAAATCTATGATATTTTAAATCTTTGTAGAAGAGAATTAGCTAAGTGCCTATAAAAACTTAAAATCATTAAAGAAACGGATGCAATTAGGCGAAGGCGCACTTCTATTTTCTTTGAATAAATGCATTAAAACCACACGACTCACTAATAAAAAAGTTAATGTTTTGTCACGTAAAAGTTAAATAGGATGTCCATATTTATACAACGTGTAAAATAAGCATTTGTAGCGAGGCAAAGTTTGTACGCGTTTGTGTTCGGCGTGAAAGCAGCGCCGATACAGTTTCTACCTTACACAAATATTTAGTACATACATATCGCTTTAGAAATAAAACTTGTATTTACTCATATTTCCTTATATTCGAACGTTATTTCGGGCAGTTCAGCTTCCTTTCAAGGGTGACTACTAACTATATTCATGTAATATGTGAGATCTATAAACAGTACTTATTGTAATTACAATCGAAGTAAATAAGGCTCAAAAAAATGGTGAAAGCGATTTATGGAGCAAACTATTTTAAAGGTCAAAATGTTATCTCATCCCTGTATATATATTTCAGAATGTCCTCAGTCGTTCACAAAAACATAAATATTTTTAGTACCTAGTCATGGGGAGAAATTGGCTGTGCCAAAAATTTATCTGGAATTGTGTAGGAAAGCACCTTATGTATAGCAGTGAAGGTTTGTTATAATTTACCAGGAACATTTAAAGATCTTCCTACTACACTTAATGTACGACTTTTGGAAAAAAATTATTAATGATAATTTGCGTGAAACATTATAGATAATTAATATTAATTTGATAACGTAATAATATATAATAATATAAGAATGGACTATATAAATTCTATGTAAAATTATTTTTAAGACAAATTTGCTCGCCTTTATGTGTGGCAGAATATGTGAAGTTTAGACTGTACCACCATAACATTATTGTGCCATATTCTTGTAAATAATTTATTATGAACAACCGATCAATCATATATAACTTTTTTTTATTATGTGGCATTTAAAAATACATACAATCCTTAATTTCACCCCTCTACGATTAATCCCTATTATTAACTAAAAAATGTTTCCTAGACATTATGGCAAAGCAACGTTTGCCGGTTCAGCAAGAAAGTGCGTTTTTTTGTAAATATTAATACAAATTAATACAAATAACAAATTTAATTTTTTAAATTATATTCTTCGATAAAAAAACACGGGGCATTTTAATTTACAATTCGTCATTTGAGTTCTTAAATATATAATTTTGCATAAAATATAAAGTACTTGTCATAAATTCTGTTTACGAAAATTTAATTTTAAAAATAGAATTTCTCAATCGGTCTCAATCGCTCTCTCCCTTCGACAAAAACGCTGCACATCTTCGTGACGTTTCCGTAAAAATTTACTGTCTACCTAACGACGCTTTACTTCAAAAACAGGTCTGACCTGATATACCACCCATCACTCACACTAAATGAGAATCGATAGTTGTTTTATTAAAGGACTCTAAGCCTAATTGGGAATTTCCATAGATTCAACATATATTCCCACGGCATCTGTTTTAATATTTTATTTGTGATAAATAAATATTGTTCCGTTGCATCTACCAAGGGTACAAGACCAAATATCTGTAATATATTACCAATATTAATATAATGAGGCTGATAATAAACCGGAAACGGAAGCACATCGATCCCTGTATCTTGACACTAGAACATAAATAACTGATCCTATTGAATTGGAAATTGATGATCGCCTGAGGAACCTACAAACAATAATAATGCCTTCAAAAGGATTGATAACAATTTATCTTATCAGTTCTAAGGTTTAAGGATTGTGTTATTAGAAACTTTAAGTGGTTTATTAATTGACGTTAAACCAGTAAAATTAAGGCATTTATTAAAAACAATTTGAACGAATGACGACTTGTCTGATAAAAAGTTTAAAAAATTATGTAATTTTTTTTATAGCTCATGTAAAAATCTCAACTAAAAGTATTATACAATTAAGTTCTTTTTATAAGATTAACAGAAAACCTTTTGTTATCCATTAATATTTTCTAAGTACATTTTTAATTCATAGAATACGCTTCACAAATTGAGCCGGCGAAGACTGAGATTATAACACTGTCCAAACGATTTATTTATTTTATTTATTTCTTAACACTTCGTTGCAGAAACATAAAACAATTGACATAATTAAATGAAAAGGAGGGCCACTGGCCTTATCGCTTTCGAGCGATCTCTTCCAGGCAACCACTTTTTACTTGCTTTACAGCCTATAATGACATAGATATTAAATGTAATCAAATTGTAAACCTCTAAAAATAAATAAAAGACAATTGCCTTTACTAAACACAGTGAATACGAAACAATAAGAATACTTTTTGTGAACGAACATTTTTATATGAGCATTTATTAAGCAATTTTGCCCTCCACCGATTTACTCTTAATACCATGTTATAACGATAATACGACGATACAGTATTGATGAATACAACTCATAGTGAGAACGTTATAAATCCACAGAGATCTGCAAACCAGTTTCATCCTTAAATCAAAACAAATAAAGATTATATTCCAAAACACACTCATTCTAATAAAGTTACATTCGATAAATCATATTTTTCGACTTTCCAACTCATGTCTGGAAACGTAGACCGTTTTCCAAAGATATAAAGTTGACAATTGTCTGTCACTAGATGGCGCTGAAACACACAAAAGGGGGAAAGTGGTGTTTGTAAAATTGATTATGTTTGACGTCTTTTGATCGTATTCTTTACAAAATAGCTTCAAAGATTGATTTTAATTGAATAGAACGGGATCGAGGTAAGGCTCTATCGAAGGCTTTCGTGCGATTAGCCGCGTCTCGATACACAAAGGGATTTTGATCTTTTTATGAATTTTACGTGTACTGATTTATTGATTACAAAGACTTTTTGAAGTCCCCATGTAGACGGAGATTTATAAGGCAATCAAGTCTTTATGATTTTGTAAAATAAAATAAAATAAAATTAAATATGTTTATTATGGTACATAATCAACGCTACTTGTATACTTATTTCCACGTAATTAAATTTGAAAGGTATATCCTAATCAGTGGCGTAGCTACCAAGAAGACAGGGGGTGTAGGCCGAGAGCCAAAAGGCCGGCGTAAGAAATCTCGTGTTCTGAACTTTTGAAACATTTTCAAAAGCAATATGACAGCAACACCACTTATTTAAAACAAATTTGAGAAAATTCAAAAGTTAACCGAAGGATTCTAGCCTGTTTAGCACTAGTACGAGGCCCTTTGTCAATTTGACTAGTTTATAATAACCGTTGAATCTTCTATATGTCAATTCGCCTTTTACACACAGGTTTTCTTGTAATACGTTTTACTTTAAATTTTATTGACATGCCGTGCACATAAAAGAGCCTATGTAGATTCTTTTTAAAGTATTAGTATCCCTTTCCCCAAAAAAATATTATCTACCTGAAACATATGTTTTATAACATGAAGCAACGCTAGCTTACATACATATTTGAACAATTAAGAAAAGGATATCATATATAATAATATATATGTATTTTAAAATATGGGTTGGTAAAATTGACGAATCACGAATTGTTAAAACAGCTCCAATTTCGTTCTACATATTTTCATCACTCGACAATGGTATACCATGCAATGTGGTGGCGCATGCTCTTTAACCCCATGGAAATAAATTAAATCATAATTTCTGACATTAATGAAAGAAGGTACAAGGCTTTAACCTGATCAAACCAAACCTAACTTATTTAATTCACTGGGAACTGAGACAATATCATTTACATCATGCATGTAATATTATCAGATTTTTCATTTTTATAAGGGGTCCAAGGGGGCGCGGCTTCTAAATATTACTTGGGATACTACATACAAGTCGAAAACGATAGAAAAAAATTTGGAGCTGTTATAATGTGGAGCCCTGATTACCATTTTTATAGTTAATCAAGGTACTGGGTCAAATTATCTTTCCATTTTGATGGCAGTTTATCCCATTACTGTAGAAGTCGGCGAAAGCGTTTTGTTCTGCCTCGATCGACCATACCAGACTTATGCAAGCAGTGTTAGGCCATCTGTTTGAGTAGATTTTAATAGTAATTTTTTATTATTTTCAGACATCATGCCGCCAGCAAAAGACTACAACGCAAAAGCTTCATATGGGCGGTCACTATCAAATAGTGAGTACTTTTATATTTACAACAGCCCTGCGATTCTGTAACTCACTTTTCGAACTCACACAGCGGTTTTCGGATCGCCGGTCGCTCTCAAATCAGTCGTGAAGCAGTCATTTTATGATTTGGCATTCTGAAAAGGTGGAAGCTTGTAGTTTATTGTTTATTTGAATGCCAAATCATAAAATGACTGCTTACGACTGATTTCAGAGCGACCCCGCCTATGCGAAAACCGCTGAGTGAGTTCGATAAGATGAGTTACAGAATCGCAGGGCTGCGCTTATACTGTAGCTTATAAAGATCTTATATTTATTTTAATGAAAATTCGAATATTAAACCCCAGATATTCGGTAGTGGGCTGATAAATTAAAAAAAGCAAGTTATTAATTAATAAATAATAATAATTCGCTTTTCAACTAGTAATTTGATCCGTAATGTTTTTATTATTTTTATTTTTTGTAACATTATTGTCAGTTATTTTAGAAAATATAGCTTTTACCATATACTTTAGATATATGATGTGGTGAACTTTAATAAGCCCATCCACACCTTGACAAACAATGGCAAACAGCTAACAGCAAACAGCAAACACGGACGTGTGGATGGGTGTTTGTCGTTGTTTGTCGTTGTTTGCCTGTTTGTGTTCGTGTTGGGCATTGTTCGGCATCGGTGTCGGTTTATCTTGCCAGATCAAAGGATGTTTGGCAAACAGTTTGCTACGTATCCACACGTTTGGCAGCGATCAGTATGCGCGCGAGCTTGCGGGAGGCGGACGTATTTACTTGCTACACTTTCGTTGGCGCGCAAAGCGTAAAAAATGTCTGATTGGAGCACCTACGATTCTGACATTTTTAAGTAACTTTTAAGTAAAATTAAAAAAAACACGGCAAAGTAAAGCTCAAATAATAGGTCTAAAGCCTTGTACGCTTTCTATGTATTTTAATCATCCACCATCGTCTTTGCTTTCTTCTTTTTTTCCTTTTTTCTTTCTCTTGCTTTAATTTATAATAAAAAATATGTCAACCCGAAAGTAATAGCTGCAACAAGCTCGTCGTCTGCCATGTTTGCCGATTCGGAATGTTATGAACGTTCGCCAAGCATGTGGATGGCTGTTTGTGTTGGGTGATTGTGGTTGGTGTTTGGGACTTCGTTTGCTTTTTGCGGTGTTTGTGACAAACAGCCAGCGTGTGGATGCCCCATAATAAATAAAGTCAATAAGAATAAAACTTAAAAGTGCCACCAAAAAGAAGCCAGCTGCCCACTGAAGTATTTTCGAAGCAATTCGACTTAGGCTCCTTTAAGAAAAGAGCGTACCAATTCTTGAAAGGCCGGCAATTTCTGGCGATGTAATTGTCCATGGGCGGCGGTATCACTTAACATCAGATGAGCCTCCTGCCCGTTTGCCTCCTATTACATAAAAAAGCACATTTGGATGCTTGTCTTCTCTGTAAGTTTGTCGCTAGCCAGTTATAGCAAATCATGATCAATTATTTTCATTTAAATATCCTATGAAGCATAGAATCTCGTACAATGTTTCAATTAAACAAATATATTTCATTTAAACGCATTGAAAATGGCAAAACACAAGTTGTGTTCGAATTTCAGAGAATTTTAAAGCGTCTACACATGGCCCTAAAATCAGTGGCGATATCGGGAGAATTGTGGTGGGGATGAATCGCAAGCTCGAACCAATTTCTGAGTTAAGGTTGATAGTAAAATTAGGGAACGATTTGCCTACACATGAGGCGAACTAGGATGCTCCCACCACTTATTATGTTGCCTCTATAGACGTGTGTATATGTGTGTAATGGTGAATGTGGTATATCACAGAACAGATTTTTTTTTCTTATGTAACTTTAATGACGTTGTGGTTTATGACATTTTCTTTTGAATAATTGTAATGTAGAGGGAGGGTAAAACTTGCTGAGCTTCTTGCCCGTTCTTCTCAGAACAAGGCCTCCTGGTAGTTTTGCGAACGGATGGCGTTGTCTTGGTCTTTCGTGAACTTTGTAAACGTTTTTGACATTCATAAGCATGCCCTTAGACGCATCTCAACTGAATAAACGTATTTTGATTTATTGATATACGCTTTTAGAGAGAAGAGCTGATAGCTACTTGCATGTTTAATGTTCAAGCAATCGGTATTCACATCTTAAATGTATTTTTTTTTTTTTTTTTTTTTTTTTTTTTTTTTTTTAAGACACAATTCTCTCCAATTGACCTAGTCCCATGCTAAGCTGGTGAAGCTTGTGTTATGGGTACTAGGCAACGGATATACATACATATTATAGATAGATAGACATATAAATACATATTTAAACACCCAAGACCTAAGCACAACACCAAATGCTCATCACATCGATGTTCGTCTCAGCCGGGGATCGAACCCGGGACCCATGGATTCGCAGTCAGGGGTACTAACCACTAGACCAATGAGTCGTCTTGTAAATGTATTTCAAAGCAACATTTAATAACGCAATTTCTCTTCCAGATGAAACCACAATGTCAGCTCGTGTCTACCACCCGGCGACAAATCTGATACCTCCATCACCACCAACTACCCCGACGGGTTCAGCTCCAATGTTCCCGAATCGCAGTCAATCCACGAGTTCCTGGAGCCGGCAGAATAGTAATAGCAAATATTCTTGAAGAACCCTTTATTGTTAAGGGATGGAAGAACACTAGCCGTATGGCTTGACAAACAAAAGATCTGTTACCTACAATAAATATATGACAAAGTCTCTCGGAGAATAAAGTTACACGTAGAAAATATAAAGTAAACGGTAACTTAAACGAATCGTAACTTGATTCCTATTAAATTGACACAATACTGAGTGCATCTAGTCAGTAGTGAAATATAGAAATATGTAGTGTAAATTTAATTAAATAGTCTGTCATTGTTTTTATCATGAATCTTCAATTGTTTTGTGCTTTTGATTTATTTAAAACATTACATTCTAGTCAGGCAATATATTTGATACTAGGATAATTGTAACTAATGATTGTAAACCAATTAAGGCAATAAATGTATTAACAATTTAATGAAATATTTTTTTTTACCTTTTTACCTGTTGTGATTAATTATAATATTTTAAAGCATTCAATAGACAGTTATATAATGTCTTTACTCTTTTTTTGAGCGTACCAATTATTTAAAGGCCGGCATCGCACTCGCGGTGTTGTACTTAACATCAGGTGAGTCTCCTGCCCGTTTGCCCCTGTTCTATATAATAAATTAGTACGTGGAAATACCCAAGAGCTGTCCAAACAACACGAAACGTTAACGTGTACAGGCCGAACACTGCTTGCATAAATCTGGTCTGGTCAATCGAGGCAGTACAAAACGTATATGCTGAGTAGTAATGGGATACACAAATTACCATCAAAATGGAAAGATGATTTGAGCCCAGTACCTTGATTAGCTGAAATAAATACCAAATATATATATATATCTATATATGTGATATACTTTTAGTGTACGCGAACAAAGTGACCAGCTAACAACATCATTCAAATAAAGTTATAAAAAATGATTCGTTATTATTGTTATCAATAACTCATACTACAAATAGCCCTTATCTTATCAATTTACCTATATAATTAAAAATATTATCATAATGTGGTTTCAAGAGAGGACGATAACGTAACCGTAAATTTCTGTGAATTGAAGTCTATTAAAACTACGTAACATCTTAAATTATAATAGTTATAGCCAAATAGTAATATAAGAATAAATACAATATAATAAGCCGTAAGACGCCATCTACTGTATACAATAAGAACTACAAACACGGATCGATAGTTCGGCAATAAAGTTTGTCGGATAAATGGAAAGATGGCGCTTTAAAACATCAATAAAAAATTATAAATAGTAGTATATATATATTACTTATATATTCAACATTAAAATACATAATATTAAAATATCAATTATTGTTTTGCTGGAAACTTAATTCGCAAATAAAATGTTACAAATAAAATATACTATATCACCAAGTGCTTAGTTACGTAGTAAAGCGCTATCTCATAGAAAATTAAGATACTAAATCGATAAATCGAAACTCAATCGAAAACGACGTTGACATTCGGAATTTGTTATAATTTCGTGTCATTTTCAAAGATGGCGCTGCTGGCGATAATGTAAAATCATTATAGAAAACTAGTTATTCTAATAAAAAGATACTAGATGTGCTCTCGAAGCGATTGAAAGAGCAGACAAACTGGCAAAAGAAGCTTCGCACCTAGAAGCTTCTTTTGCCTCTGCTCAGTGGCGGATTTATAGATTTGCCGCCCGTAGGCTATTCAATTTTGTGCCCGCCTCTAAATTTTGATATCTTAGTCCACAAGTATATCTTCGTACGAAATCTTGTTCATTAGCTCTGACTCTATGCACAAGAGAGCTAAAGCGTTTAGCTTTTCTTGACTTAAAGTCGATCGTAGGTAGTTCTTTACTCTCTTCAAGCAAGAGAAGCTTCTTTCACCTGAACAATTTGCCGCTGGTGTATAAAGAGCCATACGAAGTGCTATATCCAAGTTTGGATAAATGTTTCTTAGATTCTGTTCTTGCAGGAATGAAGACAGACTTATTAATGATCCATTGAATAAAAAATTGCAGCTGAGTATTGTTTTATCTTATTATAATTAATTTATTCCGATTGGCATTTTCTGGAAAAAGTTGGCTTTGCGAAAAAGTTATCAAATCTACTGATGTAAACATTTTATTTAAATAATTCGTGTACGACATGAGCGCTTAAGGCCTGCTCATCTGGATTTTCCAAACTTTTTCTTACAGCAAATAAAATAATTAACTGATAAAACGTATCAGTTTTCTAATGAGCAAATTGTCTCACTTCATATTTTGTGGAGGGAATTTTTTTATTGTCAAGTCACAGTCGTTCAACTATCAGTTATTTGATTAATATGATCTCTATAAGATATTGAACTAGTTTTTTATTTAATAAAAATTAGTAAATTTTAGTCAGTATTTTTATTAGACCATCGACATTAAGTATATCGATTGAATTGGGTAAGCAGATCTCATAATTATTAGGTACACGGAGAAAAAATTATAGCAGTTATCAGTGAAGAATATATGTAAAAATTACTAAATTTTGATTATAATATCGAATCGCGATATTCTAAAAGTTTATAATAATTAATGTATAATTAGTAAAGCGTTTAGGAATTGTTCATGCAGAGATGTTGAAATATTTATTAATTAGCACTGTATATGAGAATATTTCGATTTTTGTTAAATATTTTAATTTCTCTCCAATTTTCGAAATTCGTATAATGTGTGAGTATAATAATTTTTTTTTTAATTTGTAAACCGAAATAAAAAATTTATGAACTAAATTTGCCGCCCCTTAAAATTTGCCGCCCTAGGCTTCAGCCTACTCAGCCTGCTGGTAAATCCGCCACTGGCTCTGCTTCTGAGCATCTAGGAGATAGGCTGGTTTTATTAACCAGGACTTGACCACATAAGCGTCTAAGTGACATACTGCTAGATGAACTGCGGGTCCGACCTAGTAATTACTAATCTATAATTAAAGATAATTTAACAGGCGTCTCTAAGTACTCTTAGATTCATTCTTTATCTTTGCATTTAAGTAAACTTTTTGGTAATAAATTTAGTTTTATTTATCGTTGAACGAAACCAATATTTCTCTGTGGGTATTGTCCCGGAATTATCAGCTCCCTCGCGATAGCAGCATTTTAATTTAAATTTTCAAAACTTATAGATTTATGGCGCTTGAGGAGTTTTAATTAATATCTTTTGCATTTTTGGCCATCGTTATATTAATTATTTGATACTGGCTTCAGCAACTTCGCTGAGACATAATTGGGTCATTTTATGTGGTGAAGATATAAATAAATCAGTGGCCTACAACAGCTTTTGGTCTGAGCCTCAGATTTCTGAATCAGATCCGTGATCATTTTTAAATCTAAAAGAGTACGTGATGAGCCTCCAGTAAGAATAACAAACGCCGTCGACCTTTTTGGCCAAATACATGTCGGTTTCCATACGATGTTTTCCTTCACCGTTCGAGCTAATGTTAGAAAGAAAGTCCATTGGTGCACTGCCGGAGATCGAACCTACGACCTCAGGGATGAGAGTCGCACGCTGAAGCCACTAGGCCAACAATGCTCGATTGGTGAAGATATAATAGCATAAATATTTGATATGATCTAAGTTATGTGACCATTTGTAAAACTGAGTACAAGTGACATAAAAAATTAGCTACTAAGATTCCGCTGTGTAGCTGTCACATAATAATAATAATAAAGCCTGAGTTATTCCATGAACCATTCATCAATTTTACAAAAGATAGACACACTCGAAATTTTAAACAGAAATATTAGGTCGTTAGATATGAAATTGGATAAATTTAATTAATTAAAGTACCATTGCTATCTATGTACTTCTGCCATCTTATAGGTATTTCATTGATCCCGTTACTAAATACAACATTCGGACGGGTATCAATAAAATCTTTGAAGGCGGGTTCGACTGCCCTATCAGAGTTGAAATTTTTACCTTGCAAGAAGTTATACAAATATCAGAAAAATGGCAATCTCTTGGAGCAAGTTCCGGGGAGTACAGCGGATATCTAAGAAATTCCAATTGAAGCTCCTCTAATTTGGTGGTAGCAATGTTGTGCAGTGTGTGGCCTAGAGCGATTGACCAGCTATGGTTGTTTAGCAGCTAGCTTTTCCATCATGGTTTGCAGTTGCTGACAATAGACGTCTGCCGTAATATAATAATATATAACTTTAATACTATTTTTTTATAGAGTAGGTACAGGCCTCCTCCAACTGGCACAATCTCTCTCTATCTTGAGCATTATTCTCAAAACAAAACAAGACTTGTTCTGCGCTCAAATATAAGAAAAGCAAGAATTTATTTGGTTACAATACAGTACTTAATTAAGCAAATTAAATAATGCCTATTTCAACCTTTAAAAGGAAGTAAAGTTAAACTTAAATCAGTTGTCATAGCTTCTGGTTTCACGAATATCAGTGCAATTTCAACTTTATTAAATGTCGTCAGAAGTCACTTGGAGTCCATCGCAATGGTGTGGGTATGAAGCTAAATACAGACTCATGTTAGAGCGAGTAAAAAATAAATTCACCCGTTACCCCTACAAGAGATTGTATGGAGTGTATCCCTTGTATCCGCTTTTCTACCCGACCCTGTTCGTTCTGTACGCCTAAGAAGAGAGCCTGCTATATAAGTCTATCTATTTAGGATACTTACGGATCAGGTGCATGTAAACATAATGGAGAATGGGTCTATGAGTTCCAAGCAAGATTCTGAGGCGGAAGTCACACACTTTACGATGCAGAATTTTACTTGGTTAGCGAGGCGTCATTCGAGGGATACATGTAATAAATAAGATTTCTATCGAGGTAGACCTATTTGTTTGTATGTTGTGTTAGTAGTTATAAGATCTAGGTAGATATATGTTTTAAATGTATTTAAATTGTAGAATTATTGTGTGGTTCTATCGTATTAGTAGTCCTTGCTTCTAACTTAGATTATAAACCTTGGAAGAAATTCAATAATATTTATTTAAATTAGATAATAGGACAACAGACACCACTCTTGCAATAATAAGGTAAGTATATTATGTGATAAAATTCATTCC